ATTACCTACCAATCACACCGATTTTTTCTACTTTCCTTGCTTAGTATTCTAAAACAACTCATTTGGGAGCAATATCGTAATAAAATAAAATGACGGCAAAAAGTGAACAAGCCTTTCCTTATTCAATGTTTTCCAACCACTTAGATTGGACATTTTTTATAGTCTTCATAACAAAAACTAGACTGTATAGATGTTTGCCTATTTTTTCTTAGAAAAAGCACTTTACCTATCTAACGCACTTTATGAAATTAAAATCATGCCAAAATTTGGGCGACCACTTGAACAAAAAATTTCACGTTTTTAAGATATTTATAAAATATATTAATATAATAAAAAATATAATATAATAATAAAAAATATATTATAATAATAAAAATAACATCGGTATTTAGCATGACAAATACAAAAAAAAATTAGGATGAAGAAAATTGAATTTCAGAGTTCAAAATCCACGTACGTAAAAAATGTATTTTCTCAGCTTCCAATGAAGCAATTTTCATAATTTTAATCCAATCTAACTCGAATAGAGGCACCTTAAAATTCATCTTGCACTCAATACCAAAGATGCTTTATTTAGTTATAAATAAATTTATTTATGCTCCAAATGTAAGAGACGAAAAGGCCACTGACCCTCTACAAATTATACGAACAAGCTGAATTTTTCTGAGTGTTTATTTTGGGACACGAAAAATATGAAAAAAAAAATTACTGCTCCTACCCGTCGGCCTATCCTAAAACCACTCTACTGTTGTAGAGGGAAAACAAAAAAAAATACATTTAAATCTGTATGTTGGAGAAAAAATATTTTAAATAAAAAATGTAGTTAAGATAAGTTTGAATAAAAATTTTTATTAGCACCTTTTGTATAAAACGAAACGTTCTATCAGATATAATGCTTGAAGAGACCGGCGATTTTGCATGTCAGCTACGCACGCGTAATCCATTTTAAATAAAATTGATTACATATATCCTATCGTCATTGCCAATCATATACAATCGTAGATAATACCCTATATTATTTAATTTAAAATTTATGTATTTATGTCACTTAATTTTTTAACGACAAAACCGATTTCTACAAAAAGATAGAAATTAATATTAAACGTAAAAATAGAACAAAGGGAAAACAAACAGAAGACTTGATTCAGACTTGAGGACAACAGATTTGATTAACGTCAAGTAGATATAACAATATTTTAAATTCAAGTTTATTTCTGTACGTATATCTATATGTAAATTTGGACGTATTTTATTAAACTTAAAAAGAACTTAATTACTCCAGTCGTCAGAAACGACAATGCCATTGAACTTCTAAAAACTATACGAACAAACTAAATTTTGCCGAGAATATTAATTTTGGGACCCCAAAATACATGAAAAAAAGTTTACTACTTTTACCCCCGAGCTTTCCCCCAAAAGCCCTTTTGTCGGGGGACAAAAACGCAAAAAAAATCGGCCCACTAAGAATTTGTACTCTGTAGAAAAAATGTTTTAAATAAAAAATGTAGCTAAGATGGTTTTAAACAAAAATTGTATTAGTCTTTTTTATGTAAAATAAACTGTTCTCCTACAAATAATGTTTGAAGAGACCGTCGATTTTGAATGTCAGTTCCGCGGGCAAAATCAATGTTCAATAAACTTTGTATCAGCTCGACGGTAAAAATTCCATATCTTCTGACTGAAGTGTCCCATCGATAAAAATCAAGATACGTTTTATAGGTAAAGAGTTCTGCTTTTGAATGCAGTTTTTTTATTTTGCCGCAAATGAACTCAGATTTTTTAAAAGTGTTAAATAAATAAACGTGGCACGATTTTTGCCATTTTTTATGATTATCATGAGATGAAGATAATTCATCGCGTTTATTTATTGGTCACTCAAAATGTTCAATAACTAGAGCCTAACCTTCAAAACTTATAGCATAAAATTTTTGTACTGAGTTTTGGCAACAAATGTGAGGCATTTAAAATGTTTAAAAAACGCTAGATTTAAATTTTCATATAACAAACGATCTAAAACGTTTATAACGTTTTTTTAATTATACTAGTACGTTTTTCAAAAAAACCAAACTTCTGCTATAAACAACATACAAAAGCGTCCTGTTTTAGTTATTTTTCGTGACCTCCTATCGTTTTCAATTTGAAACATTAAATTCTGCGTTTTTTATTCTTATTTCAAATGCCACATATTTGTTGCCACAACTTAAAGTTGAAATTTTATGTCATAGATTTTAAAGATGGATTTCTAAAAATTAAAATTTTACTACGTCAAAGCAAAAACAAAATATATTGCATTGACCAGCGTCAATGCAATATATTTTGTTGATCTCATGAGAATCGTAAAATATGGCAAAAGTCGCGCCACATTAATTTTTTAACAATTTTATACAAACTGAGTATATTCTCGGCAAACTACGAAAACTGTATGAGAAAGCTGCACTATTTTCTTTAAAAAATCGTCTTATTTTTGTCGATGGGGTACTTGGATCATAAGATATCGAATTTTTACCATCGAGCTGATTCAAATTTTATTGCACATTGATTTTCTGAGCGTAACTGACATTCAAAATTGACGTTTACTTTAGGCGTTGTTTCTGAGAAAACATTCCATCCTACACTAAAAATGATAACCTTTTTGTTTAAAATTATGTTAGCTACACTTTTTATTGAAAATTTATTTTTTCTGCGGCGTGAAACATATTGGTAAATCAATTTTTTTGCAGTTTCATTCCCTACAAAATGAGTTATAAGGAGAAGCCCATTGTGAAAGTAGTAAACTTTTTGCATCTTTTTAATAGTCCCAAAATTAATATTTCCAGCAATTCAGCTTATTCGTATGGTTTTAGGAGTCCACTCTCCGACGACTGGACTATAATTCAAAAATTTCTATCTAGTTTTTAAATAATCTTATTATATATACACTACTTAACAATTGAAGTGGATAATTTTAAAATTCCTAAAATTAACATATAAAACTATTTTTAAAATAATCGCCTGTATTCTATATGCTATCTTTATTGCCATAATTTTTTGCATGTGGTGTTTTTTTCCCGATTCTTATGGGCCCTTATCTAGTACAATGAGACAAATATTGCTCCAAACATGAATATATCATTCGTAGAAAAGTGTTTGCATTGGATTTACCAGTTGTCAATAAGTTAAGAAATCTATTTATCACAAAAACATTATACCGCAAAGAGGTTTAGAACTAGTGCAGTTCGAGCAATTAGTTCATTGGATCCAACAAGGCATAACCCAACAAGAGGTTTCTATGAGGCTAAATGTGTCGCAAAGTGTGATAAGTCGTACATGGAATCGGTATATAGCAACTGGATCTGCAACATACAAGCATGAAGGAGAACGAGAACGATCTACAACTCGTCGACAAGACCGTTTTTAAGTTCTGATGGCAAGAAGAAACCCAACATTCACGGCTTCCAGAATTAACAGTATCTTAAAGCATGCTACTGGACGAGAGATTTACAGTCAAACTATCAGAAGACGGTTACATGCATCCAATTTAAGGGCTATACGGCGCGCTACCCATCCACGACTATCTAGGGAGCAGCATGCATGCAGATATCGCTGGGCGATGGAACACTATCAGTGGAATTTTGAAAATTGGAGGAATTGTCTCTTTAGTGACGATTTCAAATTTCGTTTGTTTACGAATGATGGTCAAATATTGGTGTGGAAGGAAAGAGGACAACGTTACAATGAAAATCTGAAAATCCCTACCACTCTTTTTGGAGGTGGATCCGTTTTCGTGTGAGGAGGCATATGTTTTGACGGCCGCACGGACTTAGTCGTCTAAATTAATGAGACAATGACTGCTACACGATATTGAGACAGAGTCGTAGTACTAATAGTTGTTCCATTTTTTGGGCAATATGCGAACAATTTGTTTTGATTGATAATAATGCTCGCCCTCACCGTGCGAGAATTGTTAACTAGTGTATAAAAGCTCATGGCATTACAAGAATGGAGTTCCATGTTCACCTTATATTTGTTCACATGTTCACCTTATATTTAAGGCTAACCGCTCCAAAGCATAGATCAGTTGGCCAATAATTCAATAAGAGGTCTTCCAAATAGAGTTAGAGTACTAAGGTTACACAGAGGTGGACCCACACACTATTAATTTTTCTTTTCGGGATATTAGAAATTGAGCAGGAATAGAAATTTTAGGTTGTTAATTTCACAATTTTTGTGTATTTTCTATTTTTTTCTTAAAGTTTTTTTTTCGGTTCATCTGTATGAAAATTCGAAGTAAAAATAAATCTTTATTTATATCAATACTATATTATCACTACTCCATACACTAGAGAAGTAAATAAATTGCTGGTGTGGGAACGTAAAATTCTTCGAATGATATATGGCCCTTGCAGAGACAGCGTGACGAACGAATGAAGGGGCAGATACAATAACGAGCTAAAGTCTCTATTCGGAAAAGAAAATCTAGTCAGATATATAAAGGGCAATAGACTAAGATGGGCAGGAAATGTGATACGCAGTAACGACAATCGCCTTATAAACAATGTATTCTGGGAAAGGCCAGATGGAAGAAGGTCTGTAGCGAGGCCTAGAAAAAGGTGGAAAGATGCAGCCAAAGAAGATCTAGAGAAAATGGAAGTACGACAGTGGGAATTACTGGCACACGACCGACAAACATGGAAGGCAATAGTAAACGCGGCAAAGACTCACGAAAAGTTGTAGCGCCATTGATGATGATGATGATTATATTACTACATTTTTCTATTTGACCTTATGAACAAAAAATAAAATACACATTTTTATAATGTCCACTTCAATTGTTGAGAAGTGTAGTTAATAGCATATTATAATATTTAGTATAGTTTATATCAAGAACAGCTATTTTTATTATTTATAGACTAAAAGACAACAAAAATAAAACCTAAATTTCTTTCTGTTCTACATAAAATACCAATAATATAATATAAAATCAGTATTAGGGCAAAAACCAATAATATACAACCTCTTACCTTTCTAAAAGTGTGTATTTTAAAATTTTCGCACCATTTTCGGAATTTTATCACAGTATGGAGGCTTCCAGTAATTGTAAAAAATATAAAAGTAGATATTAACGTTATTAATATGAGTACGGATATAGTCGGAGATTTCTGAAACAAAATATAAACAGGTATTTTTTTACGAACTAATTCAAATACTAGTAATATACAAGTATTATAATTTAAATATAAGAAAAGTTTAGAGGCCTGTGAATCACTTTCAACAAATATTACATAGAGACTTTATTAGCTTTTTTATGTTTTTAAACAAAAAATATACATTATATTTAAAAATCACCTATAATTTCCAATAACACATTGGACCATTCTGTTCAAATTAGTATTTGCCAATCTTCTAACTAATTGATATGTAAAGTCTTCATATATAAAATCCAAAAAATTTCAACATTGCAATTTTATAATTTTTAGTACTTTAATGACCCAGATTGATATGGCAGTATATTATAGTATAATAATAAAAACACCAGGATGCCCTCAAAGTCTTTTTTTAAATGAAGCATCTATACTAGCGTTGTATTAATTTTTCCCTGTAGTAAAATGCTGGACACTAATTAGTTGAAAAAGTCTATTAACTTAACGAGGAGATCTGGTATACAAAATGTAAACTTTTTCAATTTCATTAAAATCTCTAACAAGGATATTACCTGACAGCGTTTCTATGGATTTTCGTAAGTACAAAAATATATAAATAAATATTGTAAATCGATGATAATCAAAAATTATTTTATTTACTTTTAAAAATATTATTACAAATTTAAAAATACAGAAAATAAAGTATAAAGCTTTGCGATAGTCTACAAAACCGCTTTCTGTAGTACTACGTTGAGCTAAGGATTAATGTATATCAAAGGAAAATAAGCCAATATTATTTTACATAAAAACGAAAAAGCTCCCTCCCGAAACCCTAAATGTATGTCCAAAGCAGTTCAATATTTTATTTTTTATAAACCACAAATGTTTGCGCTTCTCAGTTCTCTCTTGGCTTTTATTTTCCCTTCGACAGTTAACTTCAAAAGCTTTGGTCAACTGCTTTTTATAATAGTACCAAGGCATAAAGTTGTTTAATAATATAAATTAAATCTAGTTTTTATTGAACGTTTAAAGTACTCTCTTATTGCAGGCGTATTCCGTACTGTACGTGTTTAGATTTTACAGCCATATAAGAGAACTGATGAAATATAAAAGTGAATCAAACGTAAGCGCAAATGATATCAAGTGACTGGTTACAAAATATATTTCTTATTTTGTTGATCTTTCCTCTTTTATTCGACATAAATATCTAAATCTAACAGAAATCTAGCTATTTAAACTTGTTCACAATATCTAGATATTACCCGTATATTCCTATGTATGGTAATGAATTCTTAAAGCAATATTTCTTTTAAGCTGCAATGCATCTCCTTTCTTAATTACCTAACTTACAAGTTGTTAAAGGGCTTTCAGGTTGTCAGCAATAATCCCTGCGGTATTTTCATATCATAGGCTGTTAAGTAAGATGCAATTTGTTATTATACCGTTGTCAGTATCTTTTAAACTTTTTTGAAGATATATTCTGAATATATATTCAACAACAAAGGCGACATCATGCTTTCCTGACTAACTTCTGGTTATATCGTGTGTCGAGTGAAGTGCGTATGTAGAATCTGTTTTTCTATTATTGAAATCCTTTTATGTTCTGCTATACGTTTGTTAAAAGTTCTACCAGTTTGACCGATGTAAGTTTTTGAACAGTCGCCACATTTAAGTTTATATACACCACTGTGCAAGTGCTTTTTATTTTGGCTCTTGTTGTTTTAATATATTTGCCTAGGTTTTTTTGTTTTGAAAGCTGTTTTTTTATTCCTTTTTTTATGTGTTTGGCAACCAAAATAGCCTACGACTCTATTGAAAACCTTCTTAAAGTGAATGAAACAGTCGATGTATTTTGCTGATCTTCACATTTTTGTAATAAAACAGATATCCCAAATATTGTTTTCCCAGTTTCCTCTTGCAAGCCAAACTGTTCGTCATCTAAATCTATCTCAATATTAAATCTCGTAGTAAAGAACAGCTATGAACATTATCAATATTACAAAATTCTGCAAAGCATATCTCCAGTATTGCTAGAAACTGTCAAATACGTGGTACAAAAGTACCTAATGTAAATGTCTTACTTTTTTTAACCATCTCGAAATATTGCTTATTTTCATACTCATAATTCTCATACAATTTAAATCACTTAATTGACCTAACACACTGTTAATAGTTTTTACTTTTTATTAAAGCGAGGCAATTAAAATTGTGACGGTTGCCATTTTAAAACTAATTTAACGGGTTTAAATTAAGAATGGTAATATCCCATTTAAAAGTTTTGTTCAAGTTTTTCTCCACAACAGCACATATTCAATTATCTGTTTCAGCCCAAATAAATCAAAATATTGATTTCAAGTATTGTCATTAGTAGTTATACAATTATTATACATTATTTCTCGAATAATTCAGTCTGGTAAAACAAAATGTACATACTGGAAGTTAATCTTCGTTAAACGAATTAGTAATAAAAATGAAAATGGTAAGTTTTGGTAGTGGCGCGGAGAAAATAGACGACACAACACGAACTGAAAATCGCATTAGAGAAAAGGAGCCAATCCATCGAAACTGCCATTCTGAAGGAGAAAAGAAACAGCCAAAGTGTGGAACTACACCGTGCGGAGGCGTGTCTAATACCCAAGACATACGTAAACTACCTAGTGAGGACGTTGCGCCAGATTGGAAAGTAATGCAACATGTGCGAGAAGTGGCCCACGAAGCTGCGAAAAGTACGACTGCGTTGGACAGGGTCATGCCTAACATTAGGGGACCAAAATTCGAAAATAGAAATGCCTTAAACATTGTTGTGCATTTTTTCGTCCTCTACCTGGCACCAGTCTAGAACGAGGCGGTAAAGATACCTGCCTAATAAAGGCTCAGGATACGAATGAATAAAACAAGTCTACTGAAAGTGACATGCGCATACATGAATCTGTCTGCGGTCGCCTTGTGGGCCATCACTGGGTGTGAAGAAAAAACAGGTATATGGGAGTAGAGACTTACACCTTACTATGGCATAGAGAAAACAGAAAAGAAAAAAGTTAATTAAAAGATAAAGAAGGGAACCACAGGAAATATGTGGCACTATGGAAAAAGATGCTAATTCAGAACATAAGAAATAGGATGAACTGTAGTCGATGGAGATTGGAATATTTCCTAACGTGAGTTTTCACCTCTTACCTCACCAGGTTTGAAAAGGCTAACATGACTAAAGGCCTTTCCATAATAGTCTGACACCCGGACACTATGACATATGCGATGTTAGAGTGCAACAGATGGATAGTAGGAGGGACAGAATGAAAAGAGAGATAGGTGTAAAGTTTGTGACAGTGGAAAAAATTATTAAAAATAAAGTAGGTTGGATTAGTGTACCTATCTATATCTGTACAGTGATCAAAAAGAAATAACAGGAAGAAAAATAGCTAGAACAACGACAACGGTAAGAGAGAAAGATGTTGTAAGTCGAAGGTAGAAGAAATACGTTTTTACTAGAGGCGAACAAGTGAGTTGGACTATGTCAGCCAGACTGTTGGTAAGTAGAAAATTTCTGACTGAAAGTGATGCTGTTCTTGAAGCGATAAAGGTCTTTCACGCGCTACCTGGAACGGAATTCCTTTAAAAAAACCCCAGTTTTGACACCAAAAAAAAGGGAAGCAAACAGGGAACCTTCTTGCTGATAGTCTGTGGAAAAATAAAGGTAATGTTTCGAAAGAGATGCTTGGCATCATAGTGATCATTCCACTTTCGTAGCGTTGGACGACATAGGAGTGTCTATTTTAGCAGAAAGGCGTTCAGCATAGACTAGCCGACGAGATTGCGTTTTAAACTCTTTAAAACTCTTTCCAGAAATACGCAAAGCGAATATTACACTGAGGTCAGTCAGGCAACGTCCTGGATAAATATGTCCTTTGAATATTTTAAACGTTTCCTCTATAAAGATGGACAAACAATTTTTAAACATGTTTAAACTTTTATTTCAAAATGATATTTTTTTTTGATTTTTTGAAACCTGAGCCACGTAATTACATATAAATATTAATATTAATTTATACAGGATTTTACAGAAAGAACTTCTTTCATGCTCAGGGGTTTATAAGAGCGACTTGATTATAACACGCAAGGCATAAACTATGGTAAGATAGGTTAGCAACATATACAAAGGATATATCCATGCAAATGATCAACTTTTCATTCACACCTGTAATTTAATTTTTTGTCCACATATCATAATTAGTTTAAAAATTTTTGTACAAAAAGATGATATTGTATTTCTAAAAATTATTAAAAGAAATTCGTATAGATACGAAAATAAGTTTATAACGTATATAATAATGAATATAGTGTACTTCGATGTAATTTTGCGACATACCGTATAGTAGATTATATTTGCTAAAACAATATTATTCTACTAAAAATTGCAACGCAGTCACTGTTTATATTAAACACAAATTTACATAAACATACTATGTTTAGGTATAAACAAAAAGTGGTTATTTTTTACGTCGCATGCTTAATTTAATTTCAAAGGATTAAACTTAATCCACCCTATAATAAAATTTATATGATAATCAACTTACCTCGAGGCCTAACATAAACAAAATTGTAACGACCACTATAATAGTAACTCCTAAAACATCCGGCCATGGTTCCCCCAGGGAATGTTGTTCCATTCCAAAGAGAAACTCTCTAAAATGCCCTTTACTTATGTAATCAACTGTGGCGCTAGCAAGACGAGCGCAGGTTGCTCCGGCCACTAAATCCGTCAGGATATCCAGCCACAGGATGAGGAACTCCAGTACATCTGAGAGTTTCTTTTTTCTGTATTGTTCTTGCGGTTGTAGTGTACTGGAAGAGCATAGTCCTAGAAATAATAAGACCTAGTGTAATAAGGATACATTTTTAAATATTAAAAATTTAAGAGTAGATTTAAGATGCAAATTCAAACCTAAATACATTTAGTGTGTGATATCTCTCTTAAGTTAGTTTTACAAGTTTTGTATTTTGTTTTATAAATTTTTTATGTTTCTAAGTAATACATTAAAATTTAACATTTAAACAATTAAATTTGTATTCTACAGGTAAGAATGCTTTTAAAAGGAAAGTATTCTTATACCATTTATAAACATATTTCATTCAACCAATTGCTTGTAATAAATTCTAATGTAAGTTCAAAATTTTTCTTTTTGTAGTGCCACTTCTTTCGGAGATTGTATATGTATAATCGTAACTGGGATAACTTTATTAACTGTTCCTATAAAAAGTTTATTTGCGTTACAGTTATAACTATCTTGCACCTAATACCTTAATCTGGTTGTACACCCTCCGAACTACTTAATGAATTTTTATTTTATTTGTTCATGATATTTTTTTAAATTCGACGGTAGTACGGTATTTCAAACGCGTCAATATTTTTTTATGTTATTCTGATTTTAGGTCCAATTACTCAATATCATATGAAAAAAAAAAAGTAAAAAACACATAGCAGAGTAACATACAGATGCGTTGATCAAGGTGTAAATTTTGATTGAAAAAGAAATTTTGTACTCTAATAAAGACAGAACGTATAATCTACCTTTTGTTTTCATATCTTTATTATAGTTAATAGTTATACTTCAGTTGCCCGAGAAAACAATGTCGCTGAACCTCTAAAAATCATACGAACAAGCTAAATTTTATTAAGGATGTTAATTTTGATATCTCAACAAGACGCACTCCCTCCCTCGGGTTCACTCTAAAACCTCCTCGTAGGCGGAAAACGTAAAAGACATAGATTGATCAAAAATATGTATATCACAGAAAAAAATGTTTCAAACAACAACTGTAGATAAGATAATTTTAAACACAAAACAACGCTTGAACTACACTTGAATCATTTGTATCACCTCGAGGGTAAAAATTCGATATGTTTTGATCAGAGTGTCCTATCGTGTAAAGTAAAATGCATTTTAAAGACAAACAGTGCAGATTTCGTATGTAATTTTTTAATGTTACATAAATAAACGTGCAATTTACGCAATCTACGATTTTTATGAGATCGCGGAAAATGGCATAAATCGCTTAACGGTGATTTATTAAACAGATTCATAAAAACTGGCTTTATTTGCCACAAAATGCAAACATTGCATGGAAAAGCTGCATTTTTACATTTAAAACGCATTTTAATTATAATCGATAAGATACTCCAATCAAAGGATATCGCATTTTTACCGTCGAAAATTTTACATATTTTTACAAATTTATTAGTGACATTCAAAATTGCCGATAGCTTCATACATGCTGATTCAATAAAAGGTCCAAAGTTGGGTTATGAACGAATTGGAACCTATTAATACATTCCACTTAACTTAGTTTATAGTCTGTATTACTTCACAACGGTAACCATCTCCTTTCGACTCCTGGTAATTATATATCTCACATGCAGGAGACCTATACGAACTTGGAAGCTCTTCTCCTTTTAATCAAATGTGATGAATATTAATGGAAAATTTATCATGATCTGAAAAATGTTCAGATAGTCTACAGCTAGACTATAGAAACAATGAAGTTACATATTTATATATATATATATATATATATATATATATATATATATATATATATATATATATATATATATATAAATATATATATATATATATATATATATATATATATATAAATATAAATATATATATATATATATATATATATATATATATATATATATATAAATATATATATATATTGTTATGATTTTGTATTTTTGATTTTAATTTATTTACTTGAAACAATCACAAAAATATACTTTCTCGTTATCAATGTCCTAAAAAATAAACTTCTGATATTTCTTATGTTCAGTGAGTTCAAAGTTTTCTAGTTGTATTTATCGGGATAGGAAAAACAAAGGATAATATTAAAAAGTATAATACATAAAATACAGATATTTTTTATTTTATAAAAAAAAACAATTATTAAATTTGCCGTTATCTTTTCAATCAGCGAATATGCATGTAATGAAATTAATACAAAAAGAAAATTTTAATTCTTATTTTCTTCTTGAGACAAAACAATTTGAAACTAATTTAAATTTGGATACCTTTATAAACTTTTATCTTCCTTATATTTAAAAAATCTATTTTATTATGGAAACAAAACTTTAAAACATTTGATAAATGTAAAAAGGTTTAATCATGCTTTAAACTGGTAACAACAATGAGGTAAACAAATCGCATTTAAGATTTACACACCTTTCAACTTGAAAAAGGAAAATATCTGACCTTTCTTCCCTGGATTGTTTTAGGACCACACAAAGAATTGTCCACCTTCCACAGCAATGTGTTCTTCCACCTTGCGCCTCGGCTTCTTGTTTCAGTATCTGCTCCTTCAGCCAATTTAACTGACTTAATTTAACCTCCTGACTCAATTCTCCAACACTTAACACACGAAAATCACTTCTTCAAACATTCATATAACTTCTTCGTGACCCAAGGATCTCTTTTCTCACCTGGTGCCACAACTATTTAACACGTATTCCAGAAACTGCACACTTTAGATTCAAGGATTTCTTTACATCGACTTGCAATCTACTTCTTCCACAATTCTGCTAACAAGACTGGTAACTTTATCCACTTAACAATGCCGGCCTCCAACTCACGAACACACCGCCTGTCGAGACGCAACCTTTCTTTTCGATCACTCAAACATCACTGTCTTCTCGAACCAACAAAAACTCTATCAACCCTCGGTCTGTCGATTTCCCCTTCCAAAAAGATCGTCTCATCACAAAATCCAAATTTGTTTACCACACTTGTTGGAATGCTAATTACCGTTTTCAAGCAAGGAACTTTAATCTTTTAACAATGGTTATTTCCTTGTAAACAAATAATTTTTATACATTTCAAAGATTTTTGCCTTAGTCATAATAGAAGATTTATACAACACAATACCGGACTAATCCTTCAGGTAACAGCTTATTTTCTATAATGTACAAATGGTTTGTCAATAACTCGTTTAGAATGGCTTAGTTCTTTATAAGTCATAAAATTTCGGTACTAATCTATCTATTTACAAATATACAAACTTTCTATCTTAAAATTAATACATATTTTGTCTTCAGATTTCTTAAAAACTTACTTCCGATGGATTCCTTAATTATTTTTGTTCCTTCCGCGTTTGTGGAAGAAGAAGTATAATAAATCCCCGCCTTTGCATATGATAAAAATTACTGAATTATGTAGGGATTTTTCTCTTATGCAAACATTCTTTGTCTCTTATTCATAATATTTATAAACATCGTTGATATTATATATTCCCCTAATCTTGTCTGAATCCAAATGCTTCAAAACATAACTATTTATACCATTATCATTGTTTATTACGTAAGGACCCTCAAAAACAGGCATTAACTTTGCGCATACATTGCCAGGGATGTTGGACACTCGCAATGCTCTCACCATAACCTTCTCACCTTTTTGGAAAGTAACTGGTCTTCTTTTCCTATTTTGATCTTGTCTCTGGATATATTTTTCGTTTGCTCTCCGCAATCTCCTTTGCACATCAATTTAATTTCTCTTTCCTCAGATTCTTGACACATATTTATCATCCATTCTTCATCCTCTTTTTCATTAATCTCTTCCCTAAAAACCACTGTTTCAATTATGTCGTTTTCATCTTCCTTTGTTGATATTCTTTCTTCTTCTTCTTCTTCGGGGCTCATCTCTTCTTTTGAGGAATCCCCGGTATTGACTTCCTTTATCCTTTTCTTAAGTCTTTTCCTTTTTCTTCTTTGTCCTTGCTTCGTTGCCAGATTCATTTCCACTGTTTGTTCTTTCTCCGAAATATCAATTTTCTGTTTCCCATGTTCGTTTTCCTGTTCTCCTTCCTTTTCTTCAGTCAGTTTCATCGTGTTATTTTTGAAATCTATTACTACATGTTTTTCTGCCAGTTCGTCCACTCCTACAATCATGTCATGCGACATGTTTGGCATTATTACACATTGTAATGCATACATTTTTTTATCCAGTCGTACCATCACTCGTATGCCTTCATTTATCGTTGCCAAAATCCGTTTATTCGCACCCACCAAATTTACCCTTGGTATTTTGTATATTAAATTTGTCAACTGTACTTCTTCTATTAATTTTCTGTTTATTAAGGTTATTTCTGACCCGGTGTCTATCAAAATCTTTATTGGTCTATTGTTAATGAAACCATCTACAAATTTTAAATTAACTCCTCTTCTTTCCTCATTATTTCCTGCCAATTTAATGAATTCCTTCGGGTGACAAAAAATTCCTGCCTGGTTTTTTGTTTTTAGTGGGTGCTTTCGTGAAAAACCGACTGTTGTTCTTCCGTATTTCTTCTCTCATCTCTATTTCTTTCATCCTCATTTTCTTCTATTTGTGTATGATTTACCTCTCTTCTATTTTCTTTTGGTCTGTCATATCCGTTTCGGTTTCCACGATATTCCTGTTCATTTCGTCTATTGTAATTTCTGTTTTCTGGATATGTGCGGGTGTTATTTCTGTTTTGATTTTCTCGATATCTGTCTTCATTCCATGGCCGATTTCTGAAATCATCATTTCCTCTTCTATTTTCCCGATTCTCGTTTTCCCTCCTGGGAATAAATTCTCGTCTAGTGTAATCCCTCCTAAAATTTTGTCCTCTCTCTCTGTATTCCTGAGTTTCTCGATGTCTATAATTCTCTTGTGACCTTCTTGCTCTTCTTTCCTGTATCCGTGATGCCCTTATTTGTAGGAATTGGCATAAACTATCGATATCTTTGTAGTTTTGTAAATTTATGTGGTCTTCCATTGTGTCTTCAAAGTGTCTTGCAATCAACTCGACTAATTGCTCAGATGAATAATTGTATTGCAGATGTTTTGCGTTATTGTACATTTGCAATGCGTATGTTTTTTCTG